ACTGAGTTGAATTTGAAATTTTGAATAAAACTAATTAACACACTTAGTAAGTGAGCTATTATTTTCTTTTGTTTTTATTTTAAAATTATGGAAAAAGGGGTATTATGAAGGAGGGTTGATACTTAAACCATCTAATTTGTATTTCAATTTTGATAAAATTATCTATGTTCGTATTTTATATTTCCTTTAATGAATTTTGGCGTGCATTATAAAAGGATAAAATTGATTTCCATGCTTGCCACATCACCATTGAAAATCTAAAGATATATTTGGTTTACATTTTCTATGTTTAATTGGTTTGATAATTTATGTAAAAAGATATCTCGAATAGCTTCGCCACATCTATTTTTTCATGAAACTCATTTTAGCCCTAAAGCCTCGGAAAGGAGTTTCAAGTCATGAAGTATGTTTTAATCTTTTTGGTAAACCAACCAAACAACCCCTTTCAAAGAAAAACTCCTGCTCAAGTTATCTCTAATTGAAGAAGGAGCAATAGTCAAAAGAAATATTTTTCAGGACAACTCAATTTTTAAGGAAATCAAATCAAACCGTGCAAACGCAGGCATAACGCTTGTATGTATGTATGTATGTATATATGTATGTATGTATATATGTATGTGTATGTATATGTGTGTGTGTGTTTATGTGTGTGTGTGTGTGTGTGTTTACGTGTGTGTGTATTCACACACTACTATAAAAAAAGGATTGGGGTGTTAAAACTTTTAATTTTCTTTCTTGTCCTCTCAAATTTTAATAAATTCCAATTATGCCACTATCTCTAATTAACCTTTCATTAAATAAATATAGCATCTTATTAATTATGCACCTCCTTACCTTCCTAAATAGTTATAATTATCAATAATATTATAACTATTAATTATTTAAAAATAATATAATAAAATAAGTATACACAATTATATGTAGTAACTAATTGAATTATTATAATAATTACTTATGAATTATAAGAAAATAATTAAAATAATAGTATAAACAGAATAACATATTACTAAATGATATTAAGAATTATACTGTAATTCAGTAAGCAATAAAATAAATAGAATAGATATTTGATTGCATAAATAGTATAATATTATCACATAAATTATGAATTATACTATTTATTTATATTATATTATTAAATAAATAATTTAATAATATTTTTAGAGTATCTTTCGTGCGAAGATTATTACATGACAGTGAATATTCTATACTTGGTAATGATTAAAAACTAACCTACAATTATATATATATATACCTATATATAGTACGTGCTTTGCACGTGAATGTACATGTTTTAAGTTTTGAATTTTTGATTGAATAGTAAAACTAAGTGTTAACAAATAAAATTGTATAATAAGATTACTTAAAAGGAAATATATAAATTATTTATTATTATAAAGTTATTGTAATTGAATGTTTTTATTATAATGATCACATAATGCTAATATTTTTTAACTAGATCCTCCAAATCTAAAGTTGATCTTAGATAAAACTGTCAATTCTATAAGTTCTCTTAAATATGACCCTCCAACTTGAAAATTATTAACTTAACTCTAAATTAACTAAGCTGTATTAATTTGCTATTTTTTTCCTGATGTTCCGTAGATAGTTATACTTAATACCTACAACATATTACAATAGTTGTTTCTGATTATAATTATTTAATAGATAAATTATAGTACTAAGCCGTTATGAACTTTTAGCCCCTGTAAACTTTCACAATCACACTAAACCCTTAATGACTTTTTTGTTTCAAAGAAAAACCCCAATAGTTTTTGAATTTTGCAGATAACCCCTATAAATTAGAACTGGAAAATGCATTAAAAGGTATTTTCAAAGTTATTGGGAGTTTGTAATTTATCTAAAAGATATTGGAGACTTTCTATAAAAGTTATTAGGGGTTTAGTGTGATCTCGAAGTTCATAGGTAAATTATACTAAGTCTCTATGAACTTTTAGCTCCTATAAACTTTTAAAATCACACTAAACTCTTAATGACTTTTCTATTTTAAAGAAAACCCCTAATAATTTTTGATTTTTGCAAATAATCCCTATAAATTTAGAACTGGAAAATGTATAAAAGGGTATTTTGAAAGTTATTGAGGGTTTGGTGTAATTTATCTAAAAGATATTGGGGACTTTCTATAAATGTTATTAGGGGTTTAGCGTGATTTCGAAGTTCATATGGTCTATTTATTACAAAATACTGAAAGTTTATAAGGGTTTACTGTAATTTATCTTATTTAATATTATAATTCTTAGCTCAAATAATACTATTAAAATAAATACACTATCTATATGCTATAAAATATTTATCTAATTTAACTTTTTTGATTATGCTCTTACATATTTTACTACTATAAATATTTTATAAATTTTTATTAAACTATCATTAACCATTACTATTTTTATTATTAATATTAAATCATTTTGTTGTAAAAAGGTTAGTTTTTAATCATTACCAAGTATAGATTATATGGTATCATGTAATAATCTTTGAGAAAGTACTATAAAAATAATCTTAAGTTTTTTCTTTAATTTATTTAATAATATAAGACTAATTATATAGCATAATTCATTATTTATGTGATATTATTAAAATATTCATAATTTATGTGATATTATTAAAATATTTACACAATTTATGCAAATAAATATTTATTCTATTTATTCTATTGCTCATTAAATTATAGTATAACTATTAATAGCATCTAGTTATATATTATTCTATTTGTACTATTATTTAATTATGTTATTATAATTAATAAATAATTATTATAATAATTTAATTGGTTACAACTAATAATTGTGTATACTTATTTTATTATATATTTATAAATAATTAATAGTTATAATATTATTGATGATTATAATTATTTAGGAAGGTGAGGAGGTGTATAGTTAATAAGATGTTGTATTTATTTAATGAAAGGTTAATTAGAGATAATGACATAGTTAGAATTTATTAAAATTTTAGAGGGCAAAAAAATTAAAAGTTTCAACACCCTAATTCTCTTTCTATAGTAGTATAGATTTCTCCTCTGAGTTGCATTTCCTATAGGTGTAAGGATAATATGATATAAAATTTATAAATAATTATTATAATAATTTAATTAGTTACAACTAATAATTGTGTATACTTTTTTATAATATATTTTAAAAAAATAATAGTTATAATATTATTGATGATTATAATTATTTAGGAAGGTGAGTAGGTGTATAGTTAATGAGAGGTTGTATTTATTTAATGAAAGAATAATTAGAGATTATGGCATAGTTAGAATTTATCAAAATTTGAGAGAGCAAAAAAAATTAAAGTTTTAACACCAAAATCCTCTTTTTATAGTACTAGTATGCCACACGTGCATTGCACGTGATGCATATTAAGAACTACAAGAGTTTAAATATTTGAAGGTCAATTAATTTTTCACTCGCCAATTTTAGAATTATTATTTATTAAATACATTCGTCGCATAGAATATATGATACAAGTGCATGCTATGACACAAAGCTTTCTCTTGAATATATTAAGAAACTTTTATTTCTATATATAAAAAAGTATATATTCTAAATTATCTGTTAGTGCAAATTTAGAGACTAATGAACATCAAACATCAGTTGCATCCCCTGACAATTTCACATTTGAAGAAAATAGGAAGAGCACTCAACTTCCCCTAGAGAATCATCCTAAGAAGAGTCCAATCACAGATACTACACCGAGTGAGCGTCGAGGCTTGGAATATGCAGGAAGATGTATATATATGTATGTATGTATGTATGTATGTATGTATGTATGTATATATATATATATATATATATATATATATATATATATATATACAACAAACAATACATACATACATATATATACATCTCAGCTGATTTCATCAGTTGATCAACAGAAGCACAAGAAAAGACTTTTTTTGGAAAATTCATGATGATGTTTTAGGTAAGATATTTCATTATATTTGAAAAATAACAAGTCAACAATTCCTGCTTCTCCCCCTACATACCTGCAGGTGAAGTCCTGTTTTAGATTCTTTTAGCCTTGTAAATGCTGGATCAGATAATAATTTTTTAGCAAATGTTGGTTTTTGTCAGGTGCTACAATGTCTCATTTATCTTCAGTAGACAAAGGCTGATCATTCTGGTTCTCACCATCGTTGACATACAGATGTTTTCATATCCAAAGAGGAAGAAGCTTCTTAGCCATCTAACTTCTTTGTATTCTTAAGAAATTTAAGAGGCATTCCAAGTCCCTCTACCTTTGTTTCACCTTTAGTCTTCTCGCTGTTATGTTTCTTATCTTTATCAGCCACAGGTTTCTTCTCTTTTTCTGCATTCTTTTGATCTTGCAGGTGCTGTATCCAGCAAGCTCCAAGTTCCCATCTCATGAAGACGTTTTCGTCAGTCTTCTCTTCGTCAAGCCTAGCTAGACTGTCATTTAACAATTTCTCTACAAAAGCTTGGCCTACAGTAAGCTCCTCATGCTTTGAGCTCATAGCGTGATTAGCTGCTCTTATCTGCTCTTTTATAGGTTTCGCGTGAAGAAACATTCTCTAACTGAAAGTAGTCAGTAACTACATTAGAAGCAATTATATAGATAGATGAGAACGAAAGATGTACATGCATCCTAGGCTACCTGTTAATGTTTTGAGCATTAGCTCCCCCATCAGGTTGGTCCTCAATATCAATGGCTTGCAAAGGGTCCAATTTACTTTTGTCAAAGTTGTTGACTTTCACGATTGCAATATAACCACAATACCACACATTCATGACGCCCAAGGTGATGAAATCCTATATTAATAACAATGAATACAATTCCTCACAAAAAAGAAAGAATAAAAAAGAAAAGAAAGGAAACAACGAATACAAGAAGAAGAAAAACACTTGGTATCACAGTTTATTAAAAGAGAATAATAGTGAATACAGAGTTAAGAGTTTATCCCACATGAGTTGTTGTCTTTTCAGCAGCAGTGATTCCTTTCAGTAAGTTTCTCTCTATAAGATGTTTGCGGTCCATTCCCGTTTTCCTATTCCCATCAATCTTTGTATCCAACTTGCAGCTTGCATCTGAAGTATCTCTGGTGACAGTAATGTTGAAATCCCCTACTATCTCGAAGTGCAAAATTTCATCTTTCTCAATTGAAGAAGCAATACGTTTTTCCATTACATACTGTATGGAAGCAATCGCTCTAAAAATTGCAACATCTACAAAAAGGCTATGGAGCAGAAAAGCTCTCCTATCTCGTATATGCCTCTCTTCTACAGTTTTGCACAGCATGGAAGTGAGAAGTAGAAACTCATTAGCCCAAGGTATCATGTCACATCTACCATCCCTTCCCCAACCACCGCCATTTCCTCCCCATGTTTCATCTTCTGCTGGGAGGCTAGGAAATATTGATGGCAGCTGAGCAGCCAATGGAGGAACAAGCCAAGTGTTGGCACGATATCCATAAGGTAGATTACCAAACTGTAAAAGTACAAGCAAATGTCTAATAATTAATAATAGAACAAGGAGAAAAAAACAATGGGAGGTTTTAATGTGTAATGTGTATTTGAAGGCTAATATATGTCATATGGAGATGTTTTTTTACATACTTCTACTATTATAATATAAACTTTATGGGGGGTTTTAATTTGTAATTTGCAACTGACTGCTAACATGTGTTGTATAGTGATATCTTTTACATACTTCTACTATTATAATAATACAAACTCTATGGGAGGTTTAAATTTGTAAATGAATTACAATATGATTGACTCACAATGTCACGTCTTGTTCTTAAAAGTTCTTTCAAACTTTTTGCATCTACTATATGAATCTTATTCTTACATTCAGTTATATTAAGAGATTGTAAGAGGACTGTAATTCTAAAAGGTTCTTAAATGTTTACATGGGTTGATACTAGCTCAATAGCTAGATATAATTGCCTCTCTTGATTTTTGAAAATCAATGATGATTTGGTTTTATGATTTAAATTTTGATTTATGATTTCATTTGATTGATTTGTTTTCATTTGAAAACATTTTGCATGATTCCCATGCTCCTTTTCTCTTGATTTCATAAATCTATCTTTACACATGGTTTTTATGTTCTTTAATATGAGACACTACCGACATTCCGCTAACCTCCTTTGGATATGATCGTTGAAGTTCTATTCCATCCATCCTCCAACAACGTTGTTTGTCTATAATAAATAAGAAAACACAAATACTAGACAAACAACATTAGTGGTAAATTGTTTGTTAAACATCATCAAAACAAGAAGGCCAACAATCTCCCCCTTTTTGATGATGACAAAAAATTTACAAAAATGATATATGCATGAAAAGAAATGAATATATAAATTATAATTCACATGCATATAAACAAACAAGATAGATATACTCATAATATTTCTCCCCCTTTGACAACATAAAAAAGGGGACAAAAGAACTATATATATACATAAGTTTTGGTTTCTATGCATATATAGTTATATATATATACATACATAGTTTTTGAGTTTTCATGTTTATAAATATGAAATCATATATTTCATATTTACTATTGTGTTTTTGAAATCGTTGCATAGAATATGCAATTTTGTGAAAATTCTGTATTCTTAGTTTTTGGACTTAACAATAATCATATACATATTTTATTAAGTATATATAATCATTGTGCAAAGTTTCAAAACATGGTTTAGCTAAAATATCAAAATTCACATGTTTACATTTTCGTGTTTTGAACTATTTTGCAAAATGATGATTTTTCACAAATGGGAAATGCAATTTGAAAAATTCTTTTTGTAACATGCTCATTTACATGTTTATATACATTTCCCAAAGTTTTATTATTTTTGAACTTCATTTGTTATTTTTAACAATTTTCCAAAGTCTCAAAAATCAGCTTTTAAAAACCTGTTATACTGTGTATCAGATTTTGGTCGACCGCACCGGTCGACCGCTCATATGTTCAGTCGGCAGTGGGCAGCAGAGAGTTTGTCGGTCGACCGGTGCGGTCGACCGAGAGCTCGAAATTTCCATCGGTCGACCGCACCGGTCGACCGAATAAGTCTCTGTCTGTTTTCTGAGTTTGGGATCTGAATCGCGGTCGACCGCAAATATTTTCGGTCGACCGCCGCGGTGTCAGATCAATCTCAACGGCTATTTTTAGAGCCGTTGCAGAGGTTTTTTTCTTGGTCTTTTTCTTAGCTTTCTCTTTCCTTTGGGGTTTCATATATATACCCCCTTACCTCAGATTTTATAAAAATAGCAAGAGAATGGTTTAAAAGATTTTAACAAGAGTTTAAGCTTATTTTAAGCTTGTTTAAGGGTTTGGTTGAGAGATTGTAACATTGAGTTTGTGCTTAATTGAGTTCTCATCTATTATAGAGAACAAATTTATATTTGTTACATTATGAGTGTGTAAGGTTTTCGGTGAGCTAGAAAACTGAGTGTGTTGTGAAGTTTTCGGTGAACTAGAAAACCGAGTGTAAGGAGTGAACGTTGATCGGTGAGCGTTGAAAACCGACACTGTGATGTTGTAAACGTTATTCAGGTGAGCGTAGAAAACCCGGTTGTGATAGTGGATTTCTCCCCGGGAGTGGGGAGCGGAGACGTAGGACGGAAGGTCCGAACTCCGTGATCATATCTTGTGTTTGAGTGTGCTTTGGCGTTTATTTATACTTGTGTGTATATTTCTTGTCGCCATTGTCATTAGCTCATTATTTATATGATCTACTATTTAGTTCATATTGTTTACCCCTTGTGTTAGTTTTATATCCTTGTATATATATATTCATCATATAGGATATATCTCATTGTTCATATTGCTTATCCTAGCTTATATAGTTGTTATATTTCATACTTGCTAGGATAACTTATTAATTAGTTTTAATTGGCATATAATCGGATTAGATTAGCATAAGACCCTAATCACCCCCCCCCCCCCCCCTAACAATGCATGAATATAAATGTATTTCGTTTAGGCTATAATCCAAATATTGCTCCAAAATTTAGAAATTTCCCTTATGCTCAATGGTTCTCTAAATTTAAAATATTTATTGAATCTAGAAATATTGACTTATGGGAAGTTATTGATTGTGCTTACAATGTGCACACATTGGAAAAATCCAAGTGGAGCGATCATGATAATAAAATGTTTATAATGAACAAGCTTTTGTTAAAATTTTTGCTTAATGCTTTTGACTCATTCTTTTCTAACAAATTTGTTCATTTTGATAGTGCTTACAAACTTTAGAAATTTATTGAAGCACGTCAAGGGGACTTGGAGGCAATCCGACAAGCTTTGGAGGATTCTTTTTCAAGTTCATGTGGAGCATCATGCACACGGCCACAAGAGGATAACTCTTGTGTAGTAAGCGATTCCGATTTTGAAAGTGAATTAACAATTGATGAACTTGCTTGTGCATATGATAGATTAATGCATGTCTATACAAAATTACAAAATAATTTTATAGATCTAAAAAGCAAGCATGTAGATTTGAAATCCGATCACGGGTCGCTAGCTTCCAAACTTGATATTGTTGTTAAAGAGAATGCTATTTTGAAAGAAAACAATGAGTTATTAAGTTTGGAAAATGATAACATGTCTTCATCTATTGCCAGCTCTCATGCTAATAATGATGCCATGATAGAAGTAGAAACTATTAGAAATATGTTTAGTTCTTTTAGAAATGATCATGTTTCATCTACTTCTATTTTCAATGCTTGTATGCATAATGATAAATCGAATCTTGTGAAAAACCGCATATCATGCTTAGATTCAACTTTTAACACATGCATTGATAATCATAAGAAACTTATGGATAAGTATGCTAAATCTAGTGCTATAACTTATAAATCACCTACACACTATGCATACTTGTAAAGCAAAGTTTACAAGTGCTCCATTTGTGGTCGTAAAGGTTATTTAGCTAAATTTTGCTATGATGCACAAAAACATAAGAATATTAATCCTTCTTGTGTATCTCATCAAGTTTCTTCATCACATGTACACACACATGCACCAATTGTACATCATAAGCATGCTAATATGTATCATTGTGATCTTTGTGGCCGTTTTGGTCATTTGGCCAAATATTGTTTTGATTTAAAAAGAAAATCTTATTTTCCAAATATTTCTAGTAGACCACATGTTTTTTGTGATGTTTGTGGTAGATATGGCCACTTAGGAAAGTTTTATTTTGATAATGTTTCACATTTGCAAAGAGCTTCAAATAATTTACCTTTGTTTGCAAATGGTTCCCGTGCACGATCTAATGGTCCACAAAAACAAATGGATCTCTTTCATTACACAAATTACAATCGGAAGCGTCATTTGAGTGATTATTGCTTTGACCGTGTTAGTGCATCACATGTGCCCAAACGGGTTCATAACCTTAGGGCTTTGAGCTTGAATGATAGGGGTCATGTCCCTAAACTTTTGGTACCAAGAATACTTGGGTACCAAAACAAATTTGATTTTAAACCAAGAATTTTAGTGTTTTTCTTTTTCTTTTTTCTTGATTTTGAAAAATTATACTTTAAACTTTTGAACATGAAAACAATTTTTTTTAATTCTTTTGTTTTCATGATTATTGGTTTTGTTTTGATGAGAGGTTTGTATTTATATAACCCTCCGGGTTTATTGGGTATTTATTCCCAAATCATGTTTACCGGATGCTTAAATATTTATATGGGTTGTTACTAGCTCACGAGCTAGATACAGTTGCCTCTCTTGATTTTTGAAAATCAATGATGGTTTGGTTTTATACTCTTAAAAATGATTCTTTTTAAAAATCCATAGTTCATAATTTTACTTTTGAACTATGAAAATTTTGCTTTGATTTGTTCCTTTGAATTCATTATATAAGCACAAATAGATGATTCAAATTTTAAATATGCTTTATAATGTATTCTTTATATGGTTTGATCAAGTTTTATAAAGAAAATTTCTTTTTTTTTATCAAACATTGTTTTTGGACTTAAATCTTAATTTATGATTTCATTAATTAATTTGTTTTCATTTAAAAACTTTTTGCATGATTCTCATGTTTCTCTTCTTTTGTTTTCATAAATCTATTCTTTTATATGGCTTTTATATTTTTTGTTAATAAGACACTATTTTCATTTTGACATATTTATATGTGTTCTCATTGTCTTTTTGTATGTGAGTTGTGTTTAGCATGTTTCTTACTTGCTCACATATGTATGCCTTAGCATTCATTGCATATATTCATTAAGGCATTTTGATAGGGGGAGCAATCCTTATATCTTTCTATGTGTTATACTCACCCATGCATATTGGTAAGGGGAGCTTTCACTCTCTTTCATCTATATGTTTTTTCCCTTTTTGATGTTATCAAAGGGGGAGAAATATTATGAGTATATTCTTTCTTGTTTATATGCATGATATATTATACTTTGTATATTCATTTCATTTCATGCATATATCATTTTTGTAAATTGTTTGTCATCATAAAA